TACGAGGGTAACTGTGCATACTCAACATTCGCCAGAGAAGGGCTTTTCAAGAACTCATTAATTTTCATAAGTCAAAACCAAATTCATGACGAACGAAATTAATAGTCGGTCTCCATTTGGCCATGCAATAAAATTCAGGGACCCCAAGGGGGGTTAATATATTAAATTGCATTCTAAGTGAATTCGATTTCTCGATCCTAAGGTCATCAAATTCACTTATACGTTCCCCGAGGGGAGGTCCGTACGCTCTCATAAGACTCCCTATAATCGTCTAATTAGAAATTCGTCCTGGTAATTAACTACAATTAATTATAGTAATGTCACCCGAGGGGGGGGGGCCCATACTTCAATTAATTGATTTACCGACAAATTAGAATGAAGGCGTTATGAATTTTGAGATTAACTTTAATTTAAAATCCCTTCTCAAATCTTGTATTATTTAAATGAGGATTTTTAAATATTTATGCAATTCCAAATTAATCCCATGCTAATGCAATAATTAATTAACATGCATAATAAATTATGCAATTCTAAATTAATCCCATGCAAAAGTAGTAATTAATTAACATGCACAATTATTTATGCAATTCTAAATTAATCCCATGCAAAAATAATAATTAATTAACATGCATAAATAAATAAATAATAATTGGTGTAATAAATTTAAATAAACAAAATTCACAATTATGACCATTAATTATTGAGTCTTCTTAAACAAGGAAACCTTATCAGTTTCTTTCCTTGTCCAACTGGAACTCCCACTGCAGTAGAATCCTGATATTGTAATGCTTGCCCGACAAGAAAACCGTTTGCCACCCCCAGCTCGCTGTCGCACCGCCGCCGCCGGTTGGCCGGAAAAAATCGCCGGCGTTATTTTTTTCTTTCTCGCGCGGCGAGCCACACGAGTCGTGTCAACCGGTCGCCGCTGCTGCCATTCACCGCCACGCGCCACCACCTGGCCGCCGGCGGTTCCTCGGGGTCGTGATCTGGTTGGTTCGTCGAGGTTCGTTGATCTTTGTGATCTCCCGGTTATCAACACATAATCACAACATGAAAAATATAATTTACTAAATTATAAAATTTGATCCTAGTTCCAACGAATGGATGTACATGTTTTCTAAACAAATAATTAATTCTATCCGGTCAACCCCCGGGCTCATAATTATTACAAACATTTATCCATCAATTCCTCGACATGTCCGAGGCTTTAAAAACAAATTCAAAACCATACATCACATTAAACAACATTCATCAAACACATAATCGGCCATAATAGTGGATCAACTAATTCCTATAAAACTGAGTTCGAATATAATCCAATATATATGGCCCTAGAGCTGCTCATCTGTGGAGTATTGCCCCTGTCTCCTCGACTCAACTACCAAACCATGATTCATCTTTCAGAAGCTGGTGGATGGATATATGCTCCATTGACTATTCAGAGACATTACATGCCAGAATTCAGCTCACTACCTACATTCTATGGTGGCTCTGGAAGACGCGCAACCTTTACATTTTTCAAAATATCATCATGCCCATTCAGGTCACCTTGAAGGCTGCCCACCATGATTGGTTGGATTTCATCCAATTGAAGACTTAATGTGTCTGTCTTTCTTCTTGGTTGTGTGGTGTTTTGTTTCTTTTGTTTTATGTTGTTTGTCTGGATGTTGTTAGCAGGAGTTTTTTCTCACCTCTAGGCCTTTGAACAGTTGATGGTGTTTCTTATCTTGTTTTTTTAATTTCCTTGTTGAGGTTCTAGGCCGCTTTAGGCGTGTCCTTTCAGTTTTCAATTTAGGATTTGGCTTGTAACATTCGAACTTGGTTCACTTTGAGTTATATAATATCTCTGACGTTTTATAAAAGATTGGAGATGGTTTTCTTGAAGATTGTTTGATGCTCTTCATTAAACGAGAGTTTACTAATAGTATAAGTATAGATTTTATTACTGATGAATTTTGTTCTGTAAAAGCTCGCCGAGCACAACTTATTTGAAGAAAAAATTAATATTACGTGATTTTTATGAAAATGATTAAAGTTCTATCCCAATCTAATTTCTAGATCCGTCCCTGTGTATCTTTCTAACGAAATAAACATAAAACTCAGACAAAGGCCCTCCACTGCCATAAGGCCTAGAGGGTCAACTAAGCTACACCAATTTAAAATCCAAACAGAGTAACAGAACAAAGCCAACAACTGAGCAAAATAAAAACAAAACAGACAAACTACACTAGGCTAGCTAATGACCCAAAGAAGCAAATTCCAGCCAGTCTTTGTGTCCTGCTTTGACAACCAAATGTGCAGGTAGAAGAACATTTTGAAAGAGCCATACGTTTCTGGATTTTCAGAGCCACCAAAGCATATACGTTGTTAATTCAATCCTTGCTTCAACAATCTCTGTACATCCCAAGTTGCAAATGTGGTTCCACCAGTATTTGAAAGAGAAGTCCCTTGACTGTAAGCCTTCCCAGTAGATAGGAGAGATCTCCCACATTCTGATTGCTCAGGGACAGTGAAACAACAAATGGTCAATTGTTTCTGGTGATTCCCCACAGCTTTTACTCAAAATATCAATGTCCAGTCCCTTCTTCATGAGGTTTGTTTTAACAGGAAGAGAATTTGTCAAACATTTCCAGATGAAATGCTTCACCTTGCCAGCAACAGAAAATTTTCCATTCTTGTCAAATTTCCAAAGTAACCTGTCCTTCAGATCCTTCCTGAGAGTATTGATTTTGAGAATTTCCTAGCTATCAGCATCATTGAAAACTTGGTTTACCAACCATGAGTTCCAGCTCATTCCTAAAGCATCAATCAATTCTTTAACCCAAATGAGATGTCCCCTTGCAATCTCTATCAGCTGAGGTTTAGCATTAGGAAGAGTTGTCACCCAATTGAGATCATCAATTCTGGTGGAGTGCCCATTTCTGATTTCCACAGCAAAGCCCTTTGCAAAGATTGGTAAAACTTTCATCCAGTTACTCCACAGCGAAGAACTGTTTTGAGGTTTGGTTGCATCAAAGAGTGAACAATTTGAAAAATATTTGTCTTTCAGTAATCTACTGACCAACAGCTGAGGTTGTGTGGAGATTCTCCATAGTTGCTTGCAAATAAGTGTTGTATTAAAGAGCTTGATGTCAATAAAACCAAGTCCACCAGATGCTTTGGGAAGAGTAAGGAAGTTCCAATTTTTCCAGTGGATACCTCTTGAGTGATCTTCCTTAGTACTCCACCAAAATGTAGCACAGATTTTGGCAATTTCAGCACATAAAGAAGCAGGCAGTAAGAAGCATGACATGGAGAACACTGAGAGGGCTTGAAGAACAGCTTTAACCAAGATTTATTTACCTGCTTGTGAAAGAAGTTTGGATTTCCAGCTGGAGATTCTTGATTTGACCGAGTCTAGGACATATTGAAAGGATTCAAATTTCGATCTCCCAATTCCGAGTGGAAGTCCTAGATACCTGGTGGATCTGTGAGTGGCAATGCCCTGCAGAGTTGTACAAATGCTCTCTTGGATAGGCTGAGGAGTGTTCTTACTGAAGAATACTGCTGATTTTTGAAGGTTTACCAGCTGCCCAGTAAAAAGCCTGTACTTTTCCAAGATATTTAACAGAGTTGCTGCTTGGTCAGCACTTGCCTTGCAAAAAAAGAGTGAGTCACCTGCGAAGAGTAGGTGGGATAGAACTGGCCCATTTCTAGACAATTTCAAACCAATCAGAGCACCAGAATCAATAGCTTGTGTGACAAGGGGAGATGGCATTTCAGCAACAATTATGAACAAATATGGGGATAGGGGATCCCCTTGTCTAATACCCCTACTTGGAGTCACATAGCCACTGACTGACCCATTGACCTTGAATGAATAAGAGCAGGAAGATATGCAAATCATAATCAAATTAACAAATTCCAATTGAAAACCCATGTGGATCATGATTTTTTTGACACTGAGTCACTCTACTCTGTCAAATGCCTTCATAAGATCAAGTTTGAGAGCCATAAAGAAGTGTCTCCCTGATGAATGTCTATTTAAAAAGTGAAATGCCTCTTGACCTATTATCACATTGTCAAGCAATTGTCTGCCTTTGATGAAGGCAGACTGTGAGTCACTGATACAGATATCCAAACAAGATTGCAATCTGAGAGCTAAGATTTTTGACAGAATCTTATAAACCATTGTGCACACACTTATAAAGTGCTTCTCGAGAAAAAATCTTTCTTTCTCTCCACTCACCAATAGGATTCTTTCGATCTCAATTTGTCCATCGATCACATATATATTTTCTGTGCTTTGTCCATTTTCATCCACTAATTTGCGCTTATAATCGTTTGATAACTCCGGGTTAGAGCATCTCCAACGGAAAATGATCCATTTTGTGTTGTATGGCATGGAGAATGAAAACTAAAAAATTATGTCTCCAATGGTTGATGTTAATTGTGGTATCATTTGTGATGTGTAAAATTTTAATTGGTTGAAAAAGATAAATAAATTAAATAAATATGCTAATATACAATGGAAGTTGTCTAGAAAGGCTTCTACATCTAGAAAGCCTTCTAGAATTTTTTCAAGCCACATAAGATTATTTGTGACATGTGGCAACAAAATAGAAAAATAGAATGACCATTGGAGATGCTCTTAGCAACAAGTTTCAATGACAAAAAGGTTATTTTGTTGAACGTTTATATAAAAGTATATTTTAACCTCTCTTGGTCTAGAGAATCTCATTTTGATCATTAAAACAAAATAGAAAATGAGTAAAGTGTATAGATAAATAAGACTATGTATCAGTGTATTAAAGAATATACATAAGTACTTCAATACGCTATTTTGAACTTCAACGATACCAGCTTACTGAAAAAGTCTATTGGGATTTGACAGCTGTTAGCTTGTAAGTTGTAACTGTAAGTAGAGATGAACACAATTAGTGCACCTTCAGTTTGAAGAAGAAGCGTATATCAACCAAGTTCCTCTCGTACGTGATTCATAGAAAATGTTTAACATTTACAAGTTGATCTGTAGAATTATAAACTAGATATATCAAATTGAAGGAAACTGGACGGAATAGATTAAGAACTTCTAGAATTGAATGACCATAATTATAACTGCAAACATATGTCAGAATACCAAAATCTAAAATGATGCGATATACACAACTGTTCCAGTTTTAATTTAAAGAATGATGGCTTGAGGTAAAGAACATAATGGGAACTTATAGAACATCTCATCCCCAGAAGTAAGGCATCAAAAGTATCACATTCAATTTTGCCGTTCCATTAA